ATTTGACTTTATTGTGGAATGCACTGTTTTGCACTATTCAAACACTGTTTGGCACTGTTTTGCACTGTTTGACACTGTTTTGATGTAGATAATTTGTCAAATAAGGAAAGTAAGGAAGTGTGAACTTAATTTAGGGACTGCCTAAAAAGGAAAGTGGTAACTTAATTGGGGGATGGAGGGAGTATATGGGGGCATCCGTGGGCACCCGTGGGGGACAACGGGATGGGGCGGAGATGGGGCGGGTTTGGGAGTTACGTACGGGGGATGGGGTGGGGATGCGGGGAAGTGTTTAGGCATGGGGTGGGGGATGGGTGAGTGAACCCCTCCCCAAACCCACCCGTTGCCATCCCTAAGAAAGACTTCTTCTTCATCTTCAGAAATATTCTCCTCCGGATTAACTTTAGATGAGGACTGCAAATTAGAATCTTTAGGCTCTCGAATTTTATCTTTCCCTTTTTGCTCCCATGTTAATTTTGTAATCTTCGACGTAGTCTCTCTCTCTAAATGCTCTGGCGAAAACGCATGACGTCAGCATCTTCGGTGGTGGCGGTGCCACGAGGGGTCAGACAGGCTTGGTCTGGCAAGTACGATGTACGAGATATTATTCCATTTTTTAATAAACTTTTGTCATACTTAAAATAAATGTAACTATAATTTCTTTTTGGTTTACTAAAGTAATCAATACAACGATTATTAATACTCCGTATTGTATTCTAATTAGAATTTCATTGAAAAGATATCAAATTCTAAATAAGAATGAAATCTTCCCTTGTATTTATATATTTAATAATCGCATAATCCAAGTTTGCCCTGCTTAGCTCAGGGGTCAGAGCATCACATTACTATCAACATTTTCATCAGGCTTGCATAGACTATTTGGAATTAAGCCAAAAATTTAACGTTAGATTGTATTGAAATTTATCATTTGGTGATAATGCTTAAAGGAGTGATATTCATTGTGATGCAAGAATACCTCTAATAATGCGCTCTACCTCTTTAGATAAACTATTCTAAGTTTCATCTAAAATACATCAAATTAAAAATTCAGATGAGAAAGAATCAAGCAGGAGAAAAAAAGAACTCGATCCATTTATTATTGGCATAGTAGTTGATAATTTAGATTTCAGGAAACGGTCTAGTTCAGCTGATCGCCAACTCACTCTCTCATACAGGAAGTCTTGGGTTCGAAATTTCATGGAGATTATTTCAGTCTTGTTTACCCAAGACTCCCCTAACAACACGGGGTAAAAAAAATCTAGATTCGTTACTTAAAGATTGCTTACACTAAACACTCGAGACCTTAACAATATGCATTTTTCATTTGGGAAATTCATGATCTGCAAATCAGTTTTTTCACATTGAAGCTTTCTTAATATACTTTTTTTGCTACATAGCTTGATGTACTAAGACAATATACTACATCTTGAAATCTATAAGTGCAACTTAAAATAAATTATCACTATTAAAGTTGTCTCTAATTTAAGTATTACTTGTAGATATTTACTATCTTTCTCTATACAAAAGCAGGAGAAAAGAGCATTTTTCCCGCCCAAAACGTAGCTTCAATGGTGGGTCGGGTCATTTTTAAACGGGTTGATTAAGTGGGTTCTCCTAATTTGTTCGAAGTAGTCAATTCATATGTACTGCGAATTGATATGTTTTTGAGGCTCAATGCACGCATTTAATGCTTCACATAGCTACAATAAAATGAAGCTCAATAAATGCTTGGTTTGCTTTACGTAGGTGGCGTGAGTACAAATTAACTCTTCAATGGGCTGTGCCGGATTTATCAGTCAAATCTGTCTCAAATGTCATCTCATAAAGTTGTTCATTCACATCATAAAGTACCCTCAACAATAAATTTCTTCGAAGCTTTACAATGCTTTATCCGTCGGTTAAAGAAGAATGAGTGTTTGATCAATGATAATTGTCCAATCACACATTTATTACTCGGCACATGATATGTGCAGAAATTATTACATGTTGGTCTTTATTGATGTAAGTATTCAAAAAATGAAGGAAACCCCGTATGAGTCTACTATAAATCTGGATGGGGTTACAAGTGCAATCGATAAAGTTGGATTTCTTCATGGGCTTTGCAGGTGAGAGTTGTGATTGTTTTTGAAGCACTAGCCGATTCTATGGGAGTACAAAGGCTCGATATTTTTTTGAATGAGGTATGAAACATGTTAATGTTTTGGATATAGAACATATATTTTCAAATTCTTTTTCTGATCAACATGGCCTCAGTGAGAGTAAAACCATGATACATAATACTTCCTCCGTCCCTAAAAAGATTGCCAAGTTTGACCGGCACGTAAAATAATAAAGTAAAAATTGTGTGGTAGAGATTTGTGCAGAGGAGGGAGAAACAACATAAGCCACAAATTGATTGATTAAAAGGGAAAGTGGAAAAGTTTTTGGGACAACCAAAAAAGGAAAGTTGGCAAAGTTATAAGGGACGGAGGGAGTACTACATACTACGTATGTTATTAAGAACTAATAATATGATAGCCAACAAACACGATAATTTTCTTAAAGATTGGCTTATCAAAAGTGTTATAGGTATAAATTTGTATCACCAGTTGGAATTGTTATTTATTACGGAGTATTTATTTAAAACATGGTACATGGTAAATACTATGGGAGTACATAGAAAATATGCTAAAATAGGAGTCCTATGAGGTTCTTATGTTTCATACGGAAGTTTTAATAGAAACTGACGAAAGTATCCTTAATGATGAAATCCTGATTTCTTTATTTTCTAAATGATACAGACATATAAAACAATTAAACAAGTGTACAGCCTGATCTCAACATATCACCACACCAAATGTGGTGCTGGACTATCACCTCTTGTTCAGCCACCACCGGCCACCACCACCGGCTGCCACCACTGTCGGCTGCCGGCCACCGCCGGCCGCCATCGCTGGTCGCCGGCGGCCGCCATCACCGGCCGTCGCTGCCGGCCACCACCGTTGACGCCTAAAATGCCGCCAATGTCAAGCAAGTCTTCATCTGCTGCTGCCCTCTATCTTCCATCACCGCCACATTATCCTCTTGGATTGCCGCCATATGTTCCACCACCACAGCCAATTCTACTAGTGTGTCTGCTTCCATGTCTGTCCAGTTAGTTGCAGATCTTCTACTAGATACATTATTACCATCTTCATAAAAATAATGGAATATTATTTAATGCCATTTTAAAATCATAATGCTATTTTGTAAAAACCATACATGACATTAACATTTGTAAAACATGACATTATTTGCCTAACATATCAATGTAATTGCCATCTTTACGAAATTAATGTCAACTTCATAAATGTAAAATGGCATTATTTGCCAAACATATTGAAAAACACTTCATAAATGTAAAATGACATTATTTGCCAAACATATTGAAAAACATGGCATTTTTAAAATAATTTTGCCATTTTCAAAAAATAAACATTGTTATATATTCTTCAGATCCAAATTCATTAAACTTAAAATTTTAGAGTAAAAAATTAAAATTAATAAATAAATATCAGATTTAGTATTTTTTAATCACTGTGCGTTTGTATTCTAACAATTAAAAAATTAGATCTGAGATTTTCAGATAATCATGAACTTGTGGGGCCTCAGATTTTCTACTCCCAAAATTTCAAACCTAGAATTAAAAATTTTTCATTTGGAACCTGAAAATTTAAAAAGTTATAGAGATCCAAGTGAAGAAGAAGAAGAAGAAGAAGAAGAAGAAGAAAAGAAGGAGGATGAAAGATGGATGAGAAGAAGAAAGAGGAAGATAAAGAGAAGATGAAAGATATTTACCGGAGAAGACCGACACATCGCCGGATTCGCATCACGTCACCGGAGCTGTAGCACCACCAGAGTCACGCCGCTACTGCTGGAATAGAAGATCCACTCTTTGTTTGTACGATTGTGGGTGGAGAAGATAATCCACTCTTTTTTATGGTGGGGAAGATATGCGTGGTGTCGATGTGGTGAGAGAGAAGGGGAAAAGAATAAAGAGGGAGAGAAGAGAAAAAATAGGAGGGGGTTGGTTGTGGGTAACAAATGAGATGGGGGAGAGAAAATAGAAGAGGGTAATACGGGTAGTGTACAAATAATGCTCCTAATTTGGTAATAAAAAAACATAGACTCTTATTTTGGAATTATTCTTATGTTTTAGTCCTATTGTGGACAATTACTTTAAATACTAAATGCTCTACCTATGCTAAATGTACAACCTAAATAAATATATTCTCATATAGATGTATTTTAATGAAAATTACAGTCATACAAATAAAAATGTGTTTCGAAAGCCATTTTTGTTAATGTATCTCAACTCTGTTTAAAAAGATTTATTTTATCCATGTAGAATATGTACACTTACAAGATTGTATCCTTTTAGAAAAGCTTAAAAGGTAAGTATTCAATCACCCCATGTTCACATGCCAAAAAGGAAATACAGAGAAACCAGAAGTATGGCCTTTTAAAACTTTACTCAAGGCACGTGTATGGCCTTTTGAAGATCATTATTATTGTCGTTGGTGTTTAGATTGTTTATATCTCATTTGTTTTCTTGCAGGATTCATTATCAAACATAAACAGCAACTACGTGTGCAGCACGATCAACATTCAATAGCAAAGTCTTGAACAGAGGCTTTGATTTGCAGTAATCGTATATTCATTCTATCAATTGATAAACAAATATATACAAGAGTGTGCAGGGATAATATGGAAACAGAATATTCCTAGAAACTAATTTGCTTCTATGTAAGGAATGTACACCAATTATGGAAGGGAATTGAATAAGTCAATCCCGTAAAATAAGCTCTTGTCAACACTCCCCCTCTAGGTGGAGAATGGATATCTATCATTCCCACCTTGTCAAGAGAGCTATGGAAGATGCTTCCACATACTGCTTTGGTTAGGACATCTGCCAGCTGGACCTTTGAAGGAACTAACGGAAGTTCAACTGTTCCTATTTCGAGATGATCCTTAATATGACGATCGACTTCCACATGCTTTGTCATCTCATGATGAACGGGGTTATTTTCAATCTTCACTGCCGCTTGGTTATCACAATTTAGCTTCATTGGATTTGTGAGCCTAATCCCAAGGTCTCTTAATATACGTTTTATCCATAGTAGTTCACAAACACCGTGAACCATTCCTCGAAGCTCTGATTCTGCACTTGACCTAGCAACGACCTTCTGTTTTTTACTTCTCCAGGTGACAAGATTGCCTCCAACAAATGTGAAGTATCCCGACGTTGATTTTCCATCAGTTCCATCTCCTGCCCAATCTGCATCCGTGTATCCGCTAACACCTGCACTTTGATTTTTTGCAAAAAATATTCCTTTTCCTGGAGAAGACTTTAGGTACGTTAGTATCCTGTACACGGCCTCCATATGATCTTCACTCGGTGCATGCATAAATCGGCTTACCACGCTAACGTCATATGTTAGGTCTGGCCGAGTGTGTGATAAGTAAATCAGCTTCCCAACTAGCCATTGATACCTTTCTTTATTTGTTGGGACTTGATCCGGCCGGCGTATCATCAATCAGTGATTTACTTCTACTGGTGTTTCAGCTGGCCGACAGTCAAGCATACATGTCTCTGCTAGTAGGTCCAACACATACTTTCGTTGACACATAGATATTCCTTGTTTTGATCTAGCAACTTCTATACCTAGGAAATATTTTAGGTTCCCAAGGTCTTTTAGTTCGAACTCTGCTGCAAGTACCTTCTGGAGAATAGCCATTTCTTTGGGATTATTTCCTGTAACTACCATATCATCAACGTATACAATCAAGGCTGTTATGCTCTTCTTTTGTGTTTTGACAAAGAGTGTGTGATCTGCATCACTCTGCTTGTATCCACTCTTCTTCATAAAGGTTGAAAACCTCCCAAACCAGGCTCTGGGGGACAGTTTTAACCTATATAATGCCCTTTTCAGCTTACACACTTTTCCATTGCGGTATATGTCAGGAGGAGGGTCCATGTACACTTCTTCATCCAGGTGACCATTTAGAAATACATTTTTGACATCAAATTGTCGTAACGACCCGTCTTCATTTGCTGCTATAGAAAGAAGAATACGAATGGTGTTTATCTTTGCTACGGGAGCAAAAGTGTCTCCATAATCAATCCCATATTTTTGAGTGTACCCTTTCGCTACAAGTCTGGCTTTATATCTGTTAATATTCCCGTCGGAGTCTAGTTTGACATTATATATCCACCTGCAACCCACTGTCTTCTTTCCCGGAGGAAGAGTCACCCATTCCCATGTATGATTCTTCTGTAAGGCCTCCATTTCGTCGTTCATAGCTTTCTTCCATTTTATGTCTTTCATTGCTTCTTAGACGTCACTTGGAATAGACACTGAGGATAGTTGTCGTATTAAGAGAGTCCGAGATTTGGCCAGCCGGTGAGAAGACACATAATTATTAATGGGATATTTGGCTTTTGCCCTAAGATCGGGTTGATAATTCTTTTTCGGGGCTCCTGGATTCTGCCTTACTGGATACCTGGGCTCGGGAGACGTCTCATGCACACCATCTGTGTCTGGAATATCCTGCAAAAACAATTCGTTAGGACTTGAGGTTATCGTAGACAATTCCTGTGGTAGTGACGGAAGGTGAATTGAAGTGATGCCATCTGTGTCCTCATTGCATCGGCTATTTTCTCCAGCCTCTGGTCCCATATTTTCTTCAACGGATCCGTCTACTTCCATCTCATTGTCTGGAGTAATCTGCATTTGTATGTTCTCTTCCTCCATATTTTCTTCAACGGATCCGTCTACTTCTATTCATGAGATAAGCAGTCGACCGAACTGCTTCTCCCAGTAGTGACGAGGAACATTCATGTCAAACAAGGATGCCCGAACAATCTCTAATAGTTGTCGGTTTCCAACACATGAGGTTTGGTGTCGTATGGAATTATCCTTGCAGAATCTTTCCATCTTGTGATTAACATATTCGCTCTCATTGTCAGATTGTAGAACCTGAATGTCACACCTGTATTGTGATTTAACCATTCGATATAGCTCCTGGAACACTGAACACACTTCTCATTTGTGTTTATGAAGAGAAATCCATATCATACGAGTACATTCATCGATAAATGTTACAAAATAACGAGCTCCACTAGGTGTAGAGATTCGAGCTGGTCCCCATACATCGGAATCGAATTTTTATTATCACTTGGAGCATACACAGTTTTATGACTTTTGGCCATTTCACACACTCCACACTCGTAGTCATCTTCTTTTCCGATAAACAAGCTTGGTTTTAATTTTTTAAGGTAACTAAATGACAAATGTCCTAGCCTAAGATGCCATAATCATGTCAACTTCTTATTCCCTTGAGCTATTCCGGTGTTGAGAGCTTCACCATGCTTTTGATCTTCAAGATAATATAACTCCCCCCCGCCTAGTACCATAGCCAAGAATCCGGTGAGTCTTGATGTCCTGGAACATACACTTATCAGGCCAGAAAGTTGCAAAACAGTTCAGATTTTTTGTTATTTGGGATATAGATAACAGATTTGAAGATATTGAGGGAACAACAAGGACTTTGTTCAGATTCATGGTGTTGGATATGCGTACAGATCCTTCACCAGATACAAGGGTTGTCCCTCCGTTAGCAGTAATAGTCTTAGTTTGTTTAGGAGTGCATATCGATACAAGTTTACATGGGTCATTGGTCATATGATCGGTTGCTCCTGTGTCGATGATCCAACTGCTATTTTTAGTAGGGTTAGAATTATACATACCAGAGTTATCCACCTCCTCAACATGTGCAGCAACAGAGGTTAATGCTGTTTCTTTTGCTGAGGTAGCCATTGTGGCTTGACTTACTGATACGCACTAGTTGTTAGTGTCTAAGTGTACATTTTTATTATCGTTTGTAATGTTTATTTGCTAGTGTTATGCAAGTTTGTAGTTGTTAGTTTGCATTTGATTGTAATCGTATTTTTAACATTTTATTGTTTGTTGTTAGTTGTAGTTAGTTGGGCTATAAGTTTAGGATAGGTTTGGAAACAAGAAGGTTGAGAAAACCTGAGGTTTTGTGCAAAACCCGGTCGGATATGCCTTTACCCGGCCGGGTATGAAGTGAAAGAGGAAGTTGCTGCGAAATTAGCAAATATCCGGTCGGGTATCCCCTATACCCGATCAGGTATGAAGTGATTTCGAGCAAACGAACGTGTAGAAGAACACAAGAACATGTGAAAAAGATTTGATTTGACAAATACTCGGCCGGGTATCTGGCATTAGGTGTTGAAAACACCTATAAATAACCTCATTTTCCTTCATTTTTCATCATCTCTTCTTCTATACTCTTAACCTCAGTTTAGAATGACATTTCTTTATATTTTTCTAGCTATGTTTAGTCTCAAAATGAGGAGCTAAACTTCCATTTCTTGGTGTTGCTCTTGAAACTTGTTGATTATTAAAGTTGTGAGTTATTTTCTTAACTTCTTCCCTAGAATATTAATTATTAGTTCTTTCCTTAATACTATCTCTATATTAATGTTGGGGAGTGTTGCTAAGATGACAATTAGTTAACATCTTGACATTAGTTAGAGTAGTATTTTCTTCCTCTATATTAATGTTGGGGAGTGTTGCTAAGATGACAATTAGTTAACATCTTGATATTAATTATAGTAGGATTCATCTCCTTTAATAATATTCTTCCTTGAATATAAATTAATTCTTATTCATATTTCATATTAATATTTTGAACATTACTTAAAGGATCAACTAGTTTTGTTTCATATATTAATTATTACTAGAAACGATCGACGAACCGATGGTTAATCGTTGATGGTTTCACAAGTAACTTCGGTTTATTAATGTACGGACGTGGTTAATAAACTGGAGAGGGATTAATTTTGTTGGTTAAACCAAAACCGTTGTGTTGAGGTTATCAATCTCAATTGATTTCATCAAGGAGTTAAGAGATTAAATGCTACTATCAAGTCGGTATATGGCGGTGTTCTATACTTGACTAATAGTAAGGGTTATTAATGAACGGTCGTTGTTAATAACTACGCTCGATGAATTGGATTTACTCCTCGATTGAGTATTCGAGAGAGAATAAGTTATAGATATAACAATGATCGACTAAAATATATCAACAAGTGGAAAGTAGCAATGCCAAGTCCTTTTTATCTTTGAATTAAATCTCATATAAGTCGTTCATCTTAGTTTTTGATTAAATTAAATCATTCAACACCAAAACCCCCCTTTTATTTACTAAGTTCATAAAAAGAGAATTATTCATTTTCCTGTGGATACGAACTCTACTTCACCTATACTACGTATTAGTGCTAGTATTGAATTTATTTTGACGCACCGTGACAAAGTGCACGTCAAATTTGGCGTCGTTGCCGGGGAGAGGCAATTAATTTTTCTTTTTATTTTATTCTAACAAAAAGAAAAAAAAATATACTCTTCAAGTATAAAGATTTCTACTTCTTTTGAGCTTTGTAGTTTATGGTTAAATATCATTCACTGAACGAAATCACCTACAAATCAAACCCCGAAATAGAACAAATTCTCGAGCGGTTGAAAAAAAAATCATCAAGATCCGACTCGGGAGAAAAAAAAATATATTGTTAAAGTCTCAAGAAGCAAATCAGCAACATTGAGCAAGCGGATGACAAGACCTTGTACGAATATTGGGAACGCTCTAAAAAATTATGTGCCAGTTGCCCATATCATGGGTATTCGGTACAAGATCTCATCCTCTACTTCTATGATGGTCTTGTTGATCAAGATACACGCATGGTGAATGCAGCATGCAGAGGGGGTGTTGTTAACAAAACCCCTTCTCAAGCAAGAGACCTCATTTCGGAGTTGGCCGAAAACTCGAGACATTACAACAGGAGGTCATCATCAAAACGAGTCATGGCAGCGGAATCCAACAACTCGTTGGAAAGTCAAGTGGCCGGCTTGACTTCTTTGGTAAAAGATTTTCTCTTAAATCCGAAAACGCAAGAAGTCAAGGTATGTGGCATATACTCGACACAAGGACATCCCACCGATTCTTGCCCAACACTTCAAGAGGAGAATCCCGAGCAAGTCAATGCTTTGGGGTTCCAAGGTCAAAGGAGGTACGATCCTCAAGGCAATACTTACAACCCGGGATGGAGGGATCATCCATATTTAAGTTACGGAAATTCTCAACAACAAACAAACCCTCCTCCTCAACAATATAAACAACAAGGCCAAACATCGAACTCGAGTATGTCCACCAAAGACATGATTCGAGCACTTGCCGTTAATATGGGAACAATGCAGCAAAACATGGGGCAATTCCAACAAACCATGATGCAATTCCAACATGAAACCAAGTCGAACATTCAAAATTTGGAAACTCAAGTTAGCCAAATTTCGAGTGCCATAAGTTGACTCGAAGCAAAAGATTCGGGTAGGCTCCCTTCCCAGACTGAGCAAAACCCAAGACAACATGTCAATGCAATCATGTTGAGGAGCGGTAAAGAATTGCAAGTGCGGGAAGTTGAGGAGGAGGAGCTAGAGGTTGATCTTGAAGAAGGCTTTCAACCGGAAGAGGAGGAACCAACGAAAACTAAATTCCCTCCACTTTCATCATATGAACCGCTCCCTCCATTCCCTGAGGCATTGAAAGACACAAGGAAGCTGAAGAATGATTGGGACATCTACGAGACCTTCGCCGATTCTGAGGTAAACATCTCACTCTTCAAACTAATCAAAAGTGTTCCCCGTTATGCAAAGTTCTTATAGGAATTATGCACAATAAAAAGGAAAAATAAATTGAAGGAGAAACAAAAGGTTGAGGTTAGTGAGCGTGTCTCGGCCATTTTTCAAAAGAAACTTCCCAAAAAATGTAGTGACCCAGGCATGTTCACTATTCCTTGCAAAATAGGGGATACCATATTTTCTAAGGCGTTATTGGATTTGGGAGCATCAATAAATTTCATTCCTTATTCCTTGTACAAATCCTTACAACTCGGCCCACTACATCAAACCGGTGTAGTGATTCAACTACCGGATCAGTCTAATACTTACCCAAAGGGTGTAGTAGAAGATGTGCTAGTAGAAGTAGAAAATTTGGTTTTCCCTATTGATTTCTATGTTCTTGAAATGGGAGATGATAAGAAAACAACACCCATTGTTTTGGGAAGACCTTTCTTGAAAACCGCCAAAACAAAAATTGATGTGTCTAGTGGTTCATTAACAATAGAGTTTGATAACCAAAAAGTAGAATTCAACATATTTGATTCTACCAAAAAACAAATTAAAGATCACTCTCTTTGTTCTTTAAATGTTTTTGAACCACCAACACTAAATATTTTTGTTGAAGAGGAAACTAAAAATTCTCAATTTTTAAAAAAATAAAAATTGAGCCAAAAAAATCTATTTTGAAAGGAGAAGAATTGAAAAAGTCGTCTCAGAACGGATTAAAACCACCTACGGTTTAGGTGGCACCAAGGAAGAAATCCCGGCCTTATTGGAAAAGGCTGAGAAAGAAAGATGAAACAAGGGATGTTCACAATCCCACATAAAACTGGAAAAAAAAATCGTCGAGCCACGACGTTAAACAAAGCCCTTCTTGGGAGGCAACCCAAGTTTGTATTTTGATTATTTTCATATATTTAGACCGGGTGTGTAAAAAAAAAGAGTTTTTGAACTGAAACTGGGCTCAAACCCGGCCAGGTATCTCAACAACCCGATCGGGTTCCATGCACATAAACAGAATACCCGGGCAACACACCCAGCGGGTAAAAAACGGAAACACTAAAAAAAGGGCATAAACCCTACCGGGTATCGCCGAAACCCGACCGGGTTTGTGCATAATTTTGGCTCTAGAATCCACTGGAATGCATACCCATTCGGGTATTAAAGAAACCCGGGCGGGTACGCGTTTAAAATTTTGAAATAGCCTAAAACCCCGACCGGATAAATTCCAATACCCGACCGGGTAAACTGATAAAAAAGTTTCTGCCGGCCTCTGTTTCAAATACCCATTCGGGTATCACGTATACCCGGCCGGGTATACGGGACTTCTGCAACTTTTAAACCCCAAAATACATCTAATCTAACCCACTTCTTCTCCCTTCTTCGAAAACCCCTCCCCAAACCTCCATTGTTGGACACTTCAAGCTTCAAAATCCTCTCAATCTTCCATCAAAATTCCAAATAAACTCCATAATCTTCTTCTCCACACCACCCTCTCCATTTCTACACCCAACAAAACCACCAAATTCTCCTCTACCCCAAAATCAGAAAACCCTACCCCTACCCCCAAAATTTCGATTTTCAGCTCAAAAACCCCAAGAAAAATCCCATTTCTTGTCTCCCTCATCATCCTCTACACCTCCACACCCTCAAAAACATCCCCAACCCCAAAAAGTCCGAATTTTTTACTCTCCAAACCCCCAAGTCCGAATTTTTCAACCCAAGTTCAAGAAAAAGGTCAACCATGCCACCAAAGAGGGCTAGAGCATCTTCCTCCAACTCAAATGCTCCAATTCCACAAGTTCCCGGGTATGAGAGCATCGAATTCACATCTAGGGATCATCACAAGAAATTCCTCACCCAACTCAACCGAGAGGTATATTCCACCCGATTTCTTTGTCATGAAACATTGAGAGCATCGATGTTGTATGATATGATGATAGAATTGTGCAACAACATAGGACTTACTACATTGTTCAATATGTCCTATAATATCTACAAAAGAATTGTGTATGAGTTCCTAGCATCGGTTGAATTTACTGAAAACATAGAGGACACCTATGAGAGCAAACTCATGTTTCGGTACAACAACATACCAAGAACTTTAACGAAACGTGAGTTTGCCGAGCTATTTGGTTTACCGGTTTTAGGCATTGAGGAAAGAAAGGCACGAAGTGATAAAACTACTGTGCATGATTTGTGGCGAAGAATGACGGGGGTTAGGGTTTTTAAATCTTCACATATGCATGTTACACATGTTCAACACCCTGCCCTTCGAATCGCACTGAAATGGTTTGGGTATAATGTCTTTGGGAGGCCAAATAGTCATCAAACAAGGATTAGTGAATTGGCCATTCTTGCTATGGGTATCTTTCCAGAAGCTCCTAGATTAGATGTTGCTTCATGTTTATGGGAACATCTAAAAAAGGAATGTGAAGCTATGGGTGACATTTTCATAGGAGGGTACATACACCATATTTGTACAAAATTTGGCTATCATGCGAATAGAGAAGTAGATGAATGACATTTCCTTAATCT